GTCAAGCAGACGGATTTATCGTGGCAGGGCGTGGTTACGCCGGACAACGCGACGTTCCTGCGTGGACAGCGCGAGCGAGACGAGCGAGACGAGCGACGCATGGCGCCGCGGCGCCGTGACGCGCGCGATAATTCGTGTCACGGCGCGAGGTGATCGACGTCGAATGGTCGAATGTCGATTCACTGCAGATTCAGTGCAAACAGAGCGAAAGGTGATGAAACACACCTTTGACGGAACCAAAAAGCGATAGCGAGAAGTTGGCCGCTGTGTTGACGGCCGTGCATTTGCATCTTCGCGACGCGGCAACGTTCAGGGCGTTCGGTGGAACATAAGACATATCGGCGGCGCGTTACTCGTTATCCCGAGGTCCGCTCGCGTATTCAGGCCGGCCTGGAGGGAGAGAAAAAAAGGAATATGAGGAAAGTGTACTGACCTCGATGTCTAGCTTCCCCTTGGACGCCATCTTGACAACAAGCCGGTGGCGCTCGGGCTTGACGTAGTAGTTGACGTTTACTCCGGCTATACCTGCTGCGCGCGTCGGGGCGCGTGTCACACGTCTGTCTCACCACCGTCGATGTCCTCGGCGGTCTTCTTCCGCAACACACACTGAGAGCACAAATCCCTCCGTCCGTAGCACACGCGCGAACTGATCGCGCGCGACTCGAGACTCGACTCGATTCGCGTTCGCGTCGCTAATCGCTACCCGTGCGGTCGACCGCCGAAACAGGCCGAAACGCGCCGCTTCACTCCGCTCCACTCCGCTCCACTCCGCTCCTCGCACGAGCTCCGCCGACACCACCGCGACCGTCGCGAACGTCCAACTCTCGTCTGTCTCGTCCCCGAGAAAGAGACAGAGCGACACCCTACCACTCGATGAAGGGGCGGCGGGAAGGGGAATCACTGGCACATCGTGACGTCACAGCGCGACGCGCTTTTTCACGTAACGGTCGTCGGTCAGTAATAACGACTAACGCGGAGTAACGCAATAAATTTTACGTTCTCACGAGGAGACAGCGTGATTGAAACGATCAACGAACGATAAACCGGCCGTCTCACGCCGCGTACCGCGCCACACCACGAAATCCCTTTCACTCGATACTCGATAAGTTTCACGCGACGTTTGATCTCCCGTCCCGCCGCTAATTTTCCCTCGCGTCCGCCATCTTGCCGTAACTGCCGCACCTATGACGTCGCGGACGTTGTCGTGGATGTGTCCGCGCAACGCGCAACATGTGTACGATATGTATTGTATTGTATTTTTCGCTCTTTCTCTTTCTCTTTTCTCTGCGAGAAAACTGCTTCCTTCTTTTTAACATCACCTCTCGCGAATAGACGTAGCGTGCGGCCGCGACCCACGCTTGTGACGTAATGTAAATAAATTCAAGCGCATGGAATAATATACATATAAATAATATATTAAAAAGAAAAGTTCTTGGACTCGTAAAAGTTTTAGTCTCTTCTCACAAAAAAACTACAGCTTGATGAGAGAGGTTTAATTATAATGCTACATTTAATATACATTGCTTTATATCCGCGGTATATGATTGATTGATGCCGGAATAATGGATCGATGCAAAATCATATAAAACCTTTTTATAAATCATTCCTAAAACGATACTCGAAACCATTTCTCATTTCAAGCGCTTTTCATAATATTAAATGGTTGCTTATAGAGATATTCGAACAATCCTATCGTCAATTTAATAATTTACGAAAGGAACAAGATTGAAGATATTCTACAAAGATATTACTATTATAAAAAACGTTAGTTATAACTCCTACAGCCGAAATATGCAGCAATATTATTTTGAAAGATTGCAATATTTCATAAAACATTGCTGCAATATTTAGAGAAATTGCATACATATTGCTATAACATTATGCAATATTTCAATAATTATTCTAGTTTTATTAATTGCTAACATATTATTGTGTGTTTGTGAGCATCATATTCCAAAACACATACGATAAAGTTATGATCAAAAAATATTCAGAGGCCTAGAAAGCACATTCAAGTTCACATCAAACTAAAATTCCTATCCAAGTGCCAAGTATCATCTCTATTCTTGTTGTTTATCGAATGTTAGATAAAGATGGCATCACCCGAGTGAGAATCCGAACATCCGAACACGCCACAAAAAAGATTTGGAATGTTTAGGAGACTCGCTAACTCGATTGTCCTTTTTATCCTGGATGTTTTCTCCTTAGGAGAAACGTATCCTTCTCGTGACAGGACCGCGTACTTATTTACTGAATTGTAATATGCAACAATGTATAGCAACATTTTCTACAGAATATTAAAATCGAATATTTTGCAATATTGTTGCAATATTTCCAATACAATATTAAAATTTCAATATTGCAACAATATTGCTGCAATATTTCGTGCTGGAGAGGAATTTTAATTATTATTTAAATTAATTATGAAACTTGTGATTAAAGTTTCGATTCTATTAAATAAAGTTGCACATATTGTCTGCCACGCGTTATTTTCGTATCATTTATTTCGAAAAAAAGTCAATAATAACGTTGACGAAAATTTGATACACAAATTTATTTAATTTTATTTAATTTATTACATTACTGATCTGTTACAATTGTTACAATTTGTTCAAAAATTTAACAATTCATGTCAAAGAATAAAGAATATTCGGGTAATACACTAATAGAAGAGTTAAATTGATTAAAGCTATTGATGTCGTGATATACGGGAGCCTTTTATTTTATTTATGGGTCAGTCACCTGGCCGTCTATCTTGAAGCATACTTGCGAGTTGTTGTTTTCGTCATTCAGGGAGAACTCGATGATCATTCGAAGAGACGGATAATTCTTAGATATCGGCATGAGGGCACTGTACGTTGCACTGTCGCCTTTGCTCAAAGGACATTTGCCATTCGTCAGAGACTCGCATGCATTCGGGTAAGGATACGGATAAGAAATCGTTACCCCCATGATTGTGACTTTCACGGAGACTGTCAGTTTTTCTGTATCAGCGACTGCAAGAGATATTACATAAAAAATTAAATGAGTTAACGATGAATGGCCAGTGAATCCTTGAGCAATTATTTTTCAAATAATCGAGCCATCGAGCATAGACGATATTTCAAAAAGGGTTCATTAAATTTTGTCAACGAGAAAGCTACGCTCTCGTCAAGTAACATCTATTGGAAGAAATATCACAAGCTGGCAGAAATATCACAACGAAACGCGTTACACAAAATAAACTTCGAAACATACGCAGCATCTAACGTAATTTGTTGACGGAAATTTAGCAATAGAATCGATTTCAATTTTGTTCAAAGCTGCATTCGACAAATTCTACTCGGCTTTCATGGTCAATGTTATACCATCAATACTGCCAATAATGTTACGTTTGCAAATACAAACTGTGAATAATCGTTCTAGACGAAAACGCAAGCTTAATGTTAATTAGCTATAATTTGTGCTCGGATCTGCACCGATCACCTGGATAATATTTAACTTGATTCTTTTTTTTTATATATACATACATAACGTTACTTACTGGCATTAAAATTCCAATGCGCAGTCAAATTAGTCCCTCTGTAAAAACCGCAAGGAGAACTATTGCATCCATTTACTATCAATGAATTGGGTGGAGGTCCATTGTCACACCGAGTGTACGGAGTGTCCTGCAGGGAAGCTGCGACGCAGATCGCAAGGATGATGCAGACTGCAACGTAAATAAAAAGTGTAAACGGTTAAAAAATGCGCTTCGAAGTAAACACTATGTAAATCGGAAAAGAAATAAAAGTTGCGCATGGCAAAATTTACCGGATGCAAAAGCTTTCATGTTGGCGTCTTCACTGGAGCAGTGACAATCGATGTGATTCTCAATTGGTAAAATAATCGCTTATTTATTAGCACGATAATATCTAATCGAACACCTGGCCGTCCTAAACACTGATAAGTTTTAATTCGAATGAAAAAAAACTCCAGACACTCGAGAGCTAACACCTGCACCGATGACATTGCAAATTTATAGGAATTATCAATCATAAAATTAATTCACTCAACAATCAGAGAGAATCTATCAACAATTAAATAAATTTATCAACAATTAAATAAATTTATCAACAATTAAATAAAGTAATCGTTGCTTTTGATAAATCCAATTTAGGAATTATGTTATCTGTTCGGATCAAAGAAATTCAAAAATTTTATTCCGTTAAACTTAACTTTATTTTGACCGACAATTACATTATTCTTCGAAATCGAATAACAAATGTTATTCGCGGATCGGCTGCCTCTTAATTTTGTCTATCAGTCTTCGTGATCTTTTTAGAATCTCAATGCTTCGTAATATTTCCCTCGCAATGACCTCGTTATTTAAAGTAACGGCCTATTGTTAATCGTTTAGCAAATTAGAATAATTGTATTTAATTTAATTACATAGTAAATATTTATTTAATATAACGGAGGCCAATACAACGGAGCGAAAAACAGTCTCCCCACTCCTTGTACAGAAAAAAACCTTAGAAGCTAAATGAAAAATGAAAAGAATCATCGTGATATTATTTTCGAGCGGACCGATCCACGAACGTCATATGTGTAACTATATGCATGTGTGTATTTCATGCGTTTATTCCCGCGTGCATGTATGTAATCGTATTTCCAAACAGCTGATTCCTATTGTTTCGTGCTATTATTTATAGCTTTCTCGCGAATTTTAATATTTCACTTGCTATTACAGCTGGATGGGCAGTAACAATGTAATCGCCACACCAACAGACAGCTGCATCAGCAGCACATGAATAAATAAAATAATATAAAAATGTCCCACTCGAGCCAATCTCATAGATTATTCGTTCGAAAAAATACTTCCAATCAAGATTGTAAAAGAGAGGAAAAAAGGAGAAGAATTATACAATAGTCTTCCATTTTATAATGTTGTAATGTCACATTCAACCACAATTTCTTAAATGAATACTTATATAATATAATATTCTTCTTTTGAATAAAAAAGAAATACAAAAGCTCATTAAACAAAGAAGAAAAATTCTAGTCAATATAGTGAGATAATAATGATAATTCATTTTTCATCTGCCTTCCATGGTGGTGAAACGACGAAACGTTGTACCAATCGGTCGCGCATAAACATCGGAGTTTTGAATAAAATACGATAAAAGAAATATCTCCATGACTCACATCTGAAAATAAGTATATAGTGATCGTTGTTTTAACATATATAATCAGCGCAACAACTGCGATATTTTTCGCTTGAATGAGCGATCTTTATAAATTGTATCATAAAAATTAAACGTAGATAATAATATATAATATAATATTATACTAGCCAACGAATTTACATACTGCTTGAACGAACATAATTGTTTACCATAGTTTTTTAGATATTGAACACGAATTTGTTTTGTAAATTTGGCTATTACATCACAATTTTGAGAAAAATGATATCAAAATGATTAAAGACGACGATTTTAAAGTCCTTTGTTTATATAATTAAAACATAAAAAAAAACATTTTATTTCGTTTTAATTCTGCGGAAAGTAATATTTGTGAAAAGTAAATGCTTTTGTATTTGTATGATATAATGTGATCATATGTATACTATAATAAATAAAAAATACAAAATTGATAAAATATAAATATTGCGGAAACGAAAACAAATTTTACTTAACTTTTGCAATTAACGAAACTTTTTGAAATTAACGAAACTTTTCTCGAATTTGTGACGTAATAATCAAATTTGGAAAACGGATTCGAGTTCAACAGGCAAAAATATATTAAATACAATTAAAATTATTCAAACAAATTTTTACCGCAGACTAATATAATATGTTTAAGCTTTGTGCCCACAATGCTAGAAATTGGTCTGAGATCTCGGATGAAGAAAGAATTGATTAATCGCAATGGTCATGTGATCAAATTGTTCAAATGTGATTTGTTAATTTTTTTCTCTGTTCAAGATCTCGGATCAATTTCAGCATCGTGGACATCGAGCTTTAAGTCCGATTTTTCATTATCATCTTTGATATTATCATAGATGAAGCCCATTAGATAAAACATCAAGTTAAGCCTAACTACAAGTTAACCAGATAATGAAAAACCAGTCCTTAGATGATTATCAATGTGATTGCGATGTCTCTCTTTCTCCCGCCCCCCCTCTTTCTTTCTTTACTTCGGTAAACTATTATTATCCACGTTATAATTGTTCATTAAGACGAGCATAGATTTCTATAATTTAGGATACTAGTAAAACAGGCGCGCGCTATGCACGCGTTATTTAGCGCATTTGACACTATTAAATTCTATATCGCACTAACTTCACTATACTACAATTTTTTTTTGTCAAAATCCATGCGCTTACTTTGTGACGTAAACAGTTATCAATGCAATGACAACCGTTCACGAAGTAAGCGCATAGAAAAAACCAATCAGCATCGGAAAAGAGGCAACTTGCAGCAATATTACTGCAGCATTGCTGCAACGTGTAATATTGCTACAATATTGCAGCAATATTGCTGCAACTTTTGTGCTATTGGAGATACTTCGAGAGATTCGAGACATTCGACTTTCGATATTAACATTTTTAAATAACTTTCAACTTTTTCAAATGAGAATAGAGTTGGATTTCAACTGCTGATCATATCGCTAGCAACAGTTTACCTGTAAATCGCTGAAGGATAGACATTGAGAAGTGCCTTGTCAAAGGTTTCATAGATTGTTGGATTTGATAACTTTACACTGTCTCGACTTTCCGTAAGATAGGGCATAGTAAAGTACTCTACGTATTGAGTAAAGTAATCGCCGTAAAATTGTTTCGCTTCCTCTGACATGTGTTGCCTCATTTCATCAAAGTGCAGCCGTTGCCGTTTCATGATATTGCTTTCTTCTACAAAGCCACCTATCGTCGTGAATAGAAAAAAAGAAAGAGGATCGTAATAAAAAAGAACAGCTCGAAAAACTAAATCAAACAAAATGCATTTAGCGTTAATAATATTTATTTTCTTAGTAAATAAATAAATTAGATAAAATTGCACTGACCTGGTATAAAGGAAACCACTTCGACTCCGTATTTGCGAACCTCTACTCGAAGAGAAGTGGTCCACGCGAGGAGGGCGGCCTTCGTAGCCCCGTAGATGCTTATACCTGGTAAGGACTCGTTGGCGCAATGGCTAGATATCGTGATAATTCTGCTGTGATTCTCCCGTAAAATCGGCATCAGCTCTCGCGTGATTCTCATCGTTCCCAACAGATTCACGTTTACCTGATACTCCGCGAGTTTCTGCGTCTGCCATTCGAATTCACCGAAAACCATCACCCCCGCGTTATTCACCAACGCGCGCAGTACTGCGGACAATGCGGCAAACAAATAAATTTGATAGATTATAAATTACTTGCATCCCTACGTACCTTTATCAATTGTTCATTTCGCATTACTCACCTAACTGCCGCTCCTCCAACAGTTCTTTAACTTTATGACGGAAATCCCGAACGGATTGTTCATCCGCGATATCGACTTGATGAACAATAACGCCTTTATTCTTTAATATTTCGACGGCGTTAGAATTAGGCACTGTTGGTATTTCGCGCACTCCGGCCAAAACCATCGCACCCTTGGCACGACAGTGCATCGCTAGACTGTAGCCCAAACCGGAATTACAACCGGTTATAACGATAAGATCCCGTGCATTTATTTTTCGCCGACGACTGAAGAAACAGTACAAAGTAGTACCACCTGAGAAAAGTAGGAACGAGAAATTTTCTTAGACGCTATCGCTAATTTGTCAATTCTTTTTTTATCCCAAGTTTAGTGATATATCCAAACTTTGCCTTATTGAAATCTCTCAAACTGGTATGCTATTCACGAATATTCTAACAAAAAAAATGGTCGAAACGTTAATGGTAACATTTTTAAATAGTGCATTTGTTTCATGTATGCACAATTAAGTAAAGGAGAAAATTTATATCGTTGTAATTACAAAGTTAAATACTTAACAAATTAAGTTAATTATGAGATCTTATCTAAAGTGCATCTCGCAAATTGCGGACTATTAATTCATTCACATTTAAAACTACTGTTATTTCGGCATAGTCTTATTCTTTTAAAATAAATTAAGTCTCTCTCTCTCTCTCTCTCTCTCTCTCTCTCTCTCTCTCTCTCTCTCTTTCTCGGCAACATGAATTTTAACTCTTCCAGCAATAAGAGCTCTTCTAGAAGCAGAGCTTTTTTTGTTTCAAATTATATAAAAATATCTAAAAAAATTCTGATGTACAAAGTCTTTAACAACGAGTCTCTATCATAATTATAGAAATCTAATTATATATTTTACTTATTTTTGACAGATTTAAATTTATTTACGCGAAAATTCACACACACTATCGAAAAATTGATGATCTTTTAAAATTGTCAGCGAAGGGGAGGAGGGGGGATTTCTAAAGGAGGATGTTTCTTAAAATCAAATATAATATCTAGAAAAAATATAATATCTAGAGGGGGGATTTCTAAAGGACAATAATGTTTCTTAAAAACAGATATAATATCTAGAAAAGATTTAAGACATCAAGGAATACATTTGATTTCGAATCAATCGAGTTAATGAACGGAAAAAATGAGCAAAGTAAGCAGATGAATCTTCTTACCTAGCAAAATCATCGAAAGCGTCACCGCCTTACGCGTATGTCCAGTATCCGCAAGATAGGCGATATTGCACGAAATTGTCGTTCCAATTTGTAATGCTATTGAATGTTTTCTCCACCACGCTGCCCATCCGCTACCATACACTTTTTCCATCGAATTCATGTTCAAATTATGTAAACACTCACTACAAATGCTTGTCGTCCGATATACAAGTAGCTTCTCAAACAATACAAAGTTTAAAATTATAAGACGTCTTTAAGTTGTCTTTTAGATATAAACAACGTCTTATGACGCGATTTCAGACACTTGTTGTCTGGATTATTAAACGATTTATGTACAAATCGATCTCTGACTGCTGTGGATTTAAATATCGTCAACCTTAGTAAAATAAAATATACAACTGAATAACAAAAATAAAAACTTATATAGCTTATTAGCGTCAATATTATTAAATTGTTTATCAATTTAATTTATGATATATTATTATCACAGTATGATTGCATTTTAAGACTGAAAATGATTCCGACGCGCAGATTGCAGAACTGAACACTGGTATAAATTTATATCAAAATATTATTTCTAAGATCCAATTCAAACTGATAAGATTTTCGTTATTCAGTTGTAAATAATATACATGCGTTTTTAAAGCGTAAATTTTGTTCACGATTATGCTGAATAAATATTCAAAATAATTGTGTATATTCATACGTACGATCGGTTCTTGTACTCGCCACGTCCGCTGAAACGAGGAGAATGATCCTGCACGATCGTTCTGGCTTGCCTAACCAGCCTCTCTACAACGTTAAGAAATGCGACCCGATCCACTCGACTCATGTAACGCCCGTCATCAAGTATTCCTGTTGATTTTCGATGCGGAATAAGCAATAAAGTATTCAGAATAAAATGCAATTTCCCAAGTTTGATCGCTTAAAAATATTTCAGTATCAAAATATTCAATTTCGACTTATTCGAATGTTACAATGTATCCCTCGTCATCAGAAGATCGATTAATTAATTATTTAACAAATTAATATTGTAATATGATCATGGAGACTTATTATTCAGTCGAACAGGCATGAACAAACGTATTAAACTTTTATATTTTTTATTTGGTACAACAAAAGATAACTTGAGTAAATCTTGTAACAAAATCCGCTTTAAGAAAAAATATTACACGCAGTTTGAAAAAAAACCAGAAGATGAATAATCCATGTTACGTGTAGATACGGTTGTAAGCATTTTAATATTTCATGAGTTAGTCGTTTATAAGGATTGGATAGTCTTCATTTGAATTTCATTATTCCACACTACACAAGAAAAAAGCATATCGTATATCTTTTTCTTTACGCTTGTAAAGTTTGGAAATATCAAACTTTGCTGCTTTCTTTCAAAGTCTCATCTTTGATAAAAAACATTCTTACATGAAGATATTGTCTGAAAAAAATTAATCATTTCACGTTGCAATAAAAAATCAATTACATAAAAAATAATTAATAGTTCATAAAATACAAAATATATATATAAGTGACAAACTAACGATTAAATAATGTCACATAAAAATTAGATAAAAGATTAAAATACGTTAAATACTGAATTATTATACAGATATAATATATCACATGCAAAGTTCCAAGTTCCTCGATCTTAGGATCTAAACATATGGATAAGAAAACAAGTTTTTAATATGACAGTTTTCTTACAATATTTTCATAGATTATAAATCGATAAGCCTTTACAGGTTTAAATGTACAATTTTGTGATGTGAGATATAATTTACATAAAAATTAACAAATATTACATACACTAGCTTATAGATATGTTCTACTGTCCCACAAAATTGCTTTTTCACAAATTCTAATTGCATTCCAGTTATGTATTTGCGATTGCCACGCCTCTTGCATTTCCCAAGATTGTTTCATCCATCCCTTGTAACAGATTGATAATTGTTGCATCACTGCTCGTAATGCACTACTCGTAATATATTAAATTACAGACTTCTCCCCAAATTTCAAATTAGGATTCGCTATTACATTGAAACTCGGATCACCATCGGTCGCCATTCTGCCGAGCCACGAAAAGAGCCAAATAATTCCAATGAAGGATAATATACCAATGACAACCCATATTGCATATCTTGTATATATAGATCCTGTAGTTTTTCGTCGTACTGGTGCTCTTGATATTAGTTTCCACCATCTTCGGAACCATTCTATGGCAGACTTGCGTTGGTATTTGTTTTCATCGTGATCAAAGGACATGTCCTTTGGATCATCGTAAGCTTCGCATACTTTTCTAGATGCCGGAGTGGATAATCCCAGAGACGAATCAATATTCACGACCGAATAAGGTGGACCAAGCTTCTGATTGTTTGCATGTACATTGCTGACAATGGAATTTGAATTTATAGTACTGCTTGTACGAGACACAGCCACTGTGGGCGACGATGGTATAGCAGCTGTGTGATTTTGGAATAAAGAGTTCTCCACAGTTATCGAAGAACGTTCCTGTTCTGGTTTTTGTTCTCTGTCTTCACTTAGCTGCAACAAAACAATGATTAATTGATAAAAGACAACAAATTTGATATTAATAGAAAACATTTGTAATAAGTAAAATAATATAGTTCTAATAAGTACCAATGGTAAACCAAGACCGGCCCGAGCCCAATTGACAGTGGCCAATTTCTCCCTCAATACATCTGCAACTGGAGATACCAGTTTTGCTTGTGGAAAGATACACACTCTACACGTGGGACAAGTGTATCCCGCTGGTGCAGTAGTTGCTGGCAAATCTCTGGCATATCGATCCAAGCATATCCAATGAAACATATGATAGCACGTTAATCTTATACAATCTCCATCGCTCAATTTGTCAGAACAAAGCGTACAAATTGGATTGTAATCATGATCATGGAGCCACAGTAAATACGACTGCACTATACACTGTAAAAATACAAAATCAGTAACATTAGACATGTGTATCACGCATGTTATGATGATGGTTATGATGAACCGTTTGATACTGCACAAAGGAACGAGCATCAAAGATATCTACATATTTTTTTTTATGTTAAAAATCCAATTGAGAAGAAAATACCTTCGGGTGTCCCGTGACCATGCAGTGTTCGCATACATTGACACGATGTTCAAAACAAAATTGATTCGTTACTCTTCTTTTCGGACACTTGCAGAGACCCATGTTCCAATGTCGTGCGACAACTAGGGAATCGAAACGACGTTGTTGGGACGCGGCCGGAGAGTCCGATTCAACGCAATACTGACTTTATATATTTTATTAAGCCTCGCTGCCCTCGCTATGTGACATATCGGAAACTCGTGACAATATCACTATTTTATTTGCACTGCCCACCATATTTTATCATCGGCCACGTCGTCTGACAATTCTCATCATTCTCATAGCCGGGCGAGATCGGAATTATCGGAAACAGCCAACAGACCAAATGTCTACCGTTTGTCCACCAATCGTAGCGATCGTCGTATCGTGTTATATTGGTTATAGAACTGGTTATGGAGAAATATCACATAATAAAAAAATAATATGATATAAACTATAATGCGTTGGATGAAATATATTGTATATAATCTGTTGAATTGAGTAAAAATAATTGAATCGAAAATTAGTGTGATGAAACACTGATTTAAACATAGTTTTTAAATCTGCATCATTCAGCAATGAGATGATGCAACATTATATACGTTTATGCATTGCTTATACAATAAATTTATCGCAAACCTGAAAATCCTATTTTCCCCATTTTTTGAAAATGATTTTCAATCGCTGTCTCTTTAAATGAGAAAGAGTGAGGGAGGGGAAGGAGAGAGAGAGAGAGAGAGAGAGAGAGAGATACATCCCATTATTCTCTTTCTTTATTTACCTTCAGCTTCACTAGCATTTCGAAGCATTATCAGTGTGAAGGCGCAATTTGTCGTATCATATCTACGGGAATTGAGTGTGGAGTGAGAGTGGGGAAAAAATTTGGAGATTGTTTAGTCCTGGGTTAAAACGTTGATTGTAAGGATACCGTGATGTTATCATTCCAAATTTGAACATACGTAAGAGTGTACGGCAGTGTGCAATGAAAATAGAGGATTGGGCTTGATTTATATTTAGATCATTCAGATAGATTTACATATCGATATAATATCATAAAGTAAAATTCACGATAAAATCTTGAAAAAGCTCTGAAAAGATACGAAAACATAAATATGTCAGATCCGGAACTTGAAGCGTTACGACAGCAACGTCTGGCTCAATTGCAAGCTCAATATAAGGTAAACGTTACGAGACTTCACTTAATTTTATATTTTTGAAATTTAAGGCTAATAATTATTTCATTCCTTTTGGATGACTAAAATACATTAACTATATGTGTGTGATTCTACAGTACTTTAAAAAGTTATACATAAATTTAGTAAAAGCGACGGGAGCTATTCCCACTGGTTTTTAGTATAATATTTATGCCTTCAACCTCTTAAGGTTATACGACATCTGAATGTTAAAATTCTAAATATGTTGTTATACTCGATCATTTTTTTTAACTTGATATAATTGTAAATAATTCTTTTCATCTCAATAATCTTCCTTAATTCGAATATATTTTCATTAACTTTCAAACCTTTATATATATCGCTGAGGTCAGTATATATTCAGCACTTATCTCTATGGTTTGTATTTCCAACATTAAAAAGCAAATCGTATAATATTTTATAGGTTTACTTGTCATATATTGTTCTATATGAATTTCATGGAATTAAAATTGTTAAAATATAGATGTTATATGTCTTCGTTTTAGGGTAACAATGCCAACGATAAACAAGCGATGGAAGAGAGAATGCAACAAATGGAAGAGATGAAGCATGCTATATTGACTCAAGTGTTGGATCAGTCAGCTAGAGCAAGATGTAAATTTATTTTATTATTGATATCATCGAGATGTGGTATTAATAGCTTATAATATTGTACATTTATGGATAGTGAATACACTTTGCCTTGGAAAGCCTGAGAAGGGCAAAATGGTGGAAGAAATGCTTCTGAACATGGCACAACGTGGACAGCTACCTGGCAAACTTGGAGAGAAAGAACTAATCAACTTACTCGAAAATGTGAATCAACAAACACAAAAGAAGACAACAGTCAAAGTTAATATAATTTTATAATAGAATCGTGCATTTCATAAAGAAAGTAACAGAATCAAAATATTATTTTTCAGTTTGATAGGAGAAGAGCAGCTATGGATTTTGACGATGATATGGACTTGTAGCAATGGTTCAAATTTTACATCCAAAATCGATTAAATTAGAGAAGATACTCATAATTCATATGTGCAGTAAGTTACAGAAATTACGATGTTCATCCCACTTTTTGCTTAATAATAATATTATTTTTATGCTGTACTGAAATAAAAAAAAGTTACTATCACTTGAATTTTAATAGTAGGACACAAGAATTGATCAATATTATCATTCACTTTGTTATTAAATATATCGCATATATAATTTGGAAATTATCATTCATTTTATAATCTTCCATTTTTCCAACTTTCCAGAATCAACCATTTCCATACAGAACCACATGTCATTTCTCTCTATGATAGTAGTAATAATAATAATATATCTTGAGAAATATTTACTCTTTAGATCTCTTTTTCTTTATACATATAAATACATTCAGCAAACATACAATTATTTTTCATTCTAAAAAAGAAAACACAATCACTCTTCCAGTCTACACAATGCAACAAACAACAGTTTCGCACAACTTGCATAATACTAAATATTATCATTATTTTATCCATATATAAAAACCAATATTTAGTTTGATGTTTAATACGATTTTACAAACTATGTGAACAATCGTGTTTAATATACAAATTTTTGATATATATTACATTTTCTTTTTGTTAAAGCTGTGTTAAAAGACAAATTTTTCTCAGTGTGTACATATTCGCTTAACTGGGTAGATTGTATTGT